ATGTGATAAAGCAGCTGAAAATCATGTTGCTCTTTGTAGAATAAAATGAAATATAAATATTTAGATTATTTTAAAAAACTCAGTTTATAACTTTGCATTGAATCTGATACTGTTGTATACTACTACAGAAGAATGATAATATTCTTAAAACCGAAGAAATACGTAAAATGGCTGGAGAAAAATTTGTAATTGAGAACATGCCATCCATTAACAATTTTTTTCTTAATATTTTGTGTGGAAAAGATAGCTAAGTGCTTAACCTTGATTCTTATCCAAGCAGAATAGCTCTCAAGACAAAAACTACATTTCCCAGTCTCTCCTGCGGCTAAGTATGGCCACATGACTAATTTCTGTCAAAGATATGAAAACATAATTACTAGATGAAATGTCTAGCAGGGCTGCTTAACAGAATTTTACTCAGCTTGGTGTGATACTCTCTGCATTTCCTTCTTATTTTGGCTGCAATGCAGGTGTGATAACCAGAGCTTCAGCAGCCCAGAGATGACCTTAATAATAAAAGCCATGTGTTAAGATAATAGGGAAAAAAGCTATTTTTTTTTATAGAAGGGTCCCAGATGATATTATGGAGTGGCCATAGCTAGATAGGTTCTCTTCCAACTCCTTTTATCTGAGAAAAGAAACCCCCAAATTCCAACTTGCTTAAGGCTTTGGTAGTTTACATTTATTTTTAATGTGCAGCAAAGCCTAATCCTGATATATTAGCAATAAAATCCTCTACTCCCACTTGTAGCATTGAATTTCAGAACCCAGACTACTGATAGTATAAAAGTATAGTTTGGGAATCATAGGTTTGGTTCTTATCTGTGGATTTTCATTGAAAAAATTGTAAGAATAATTGTTGAAACTAACTTCTATTTTTATCTTTGTAATTCTTGCTTTCACTGAAAAAAGAAAAGAATAGGAAAATGGCACCGAATCTCATTAGCATTCTCTGTCTCTGTCTGTCTGTCTTCTGTCTGTCTGTCTCTCTCTCTCTCTCTCTCTCTCCCTCTCTTTCTCTCTCTTTCTGCCTCTCTCCGAAGTAAATTCAGCAATGATATAAATTTCATCTTTGTCAAAGTATTTTTTGCATATGTATATAACGCTTTAAGTTCACTAAGTCTACCCACATACTTAGCTCTTATGATTCTCATAACAGATCCATGAAGTAGGCAAGACAAACACATTTCCATTTCTACCAAAGTGGAAACTGGGTTTTCATCCTCATTATATCAATTTGTGGCAGATGGGACTATTATCTCTAACATACATAAAGCAGAATCATGAAATGATCACATCACTTGACCCAGTGCCTTGGATACAAGTTGGCATTCAGTAAATACTTGCTGGATTCCTGAATGAGTGCCTGGGTAAGTGAATGAGTAAGGAAAATGATGCAGGGAAGTTAAAGTGAGGGGTTTAAAATGGAATTAAAATGAGGGGTTTTTCACTTCTATTCTAATTCTTTTTCCATTAATTATACCATGTTACCTCTCCCTAGAAATTCATTCTTCAATTTGCTGAGTTGTCCATTTGGGGGTACTGTGTGTGGAAGGCAGTTTTCAGATGGTCATCAATGGTGAACTTCAGCTGATGCCCCAGCACAACATTGTACACACCAGAAAAGAGTTTGCTTCCACTGGCAGCTCTCCCAATCCTCACATATTAATGCTCTGCCAACAGCTATTGTCTTTGACAAGTGACTGTGCTGGCAACATAGGATTTCCTTACACAAAGTCCTTCACATGGATCGCCAGCAAGGAGTCTCATTTCTAGCTTTGCCTGACACCCTCACACAGCTAAAGTATTTGTTTTACTTGGGAAAATGTTCCAGGAGACTCTGTGCTTGTGGTAATTGTTGTGGTTTAACAACAGTTTAAAGATTTGAACTAGGAAACATAACAGCCCCAGTGGATCCTAACATTTAAAACAATTTCTTTCTTTCTTTCTTTCTTCTGAAATAGCTGAGAAAATAACAAAAGCCAGAAAACCCTCAAATTATCACCCTGGGTTATTCTAAGGTATGCATATGAAGTGAATTTACTTTTTTTTTTTTTTGGCAGACAACTGAGACTGAGACAACATTAAATGATTTCTCTGAAGTTACCTAATTTGTCAGAATATTTGCTATAGAGTCTAGGTCAGAGGTGTCCAATCTTTTGGCTTCCCTGGGCTACATTGGCAGAAAAATTGTCTTAAGTCACACATAAAACACACTAACACTAATGATAGCTGATGAACTAAAATTAAAAAAAAAATCACAAAAAAAATCATAATGTTTAGGAAAGTTTACGAATTTGTTCTGGGCCACACTCAAAGCTGTCCTGGGCTGCATGTGGTCTGCGGGCCATGCATTAAACAAACTTGGTCTAGATTCTAAACTACTCAGTCATCTAGTGGATGGAATTCTAAGCCTGACATTTGCTGGCTGTCCAACACTGGAGAAATTAATAATTCTCTCTGAACCTCGGTTTTTTTTTTTTTTTTTTTTTTTTTTTTTTTTTTTTTTTGAGATGGGGTCTTGCTCTGTCATCCAGGCTGGATTGCTGTGGCACGATCCATGGCTCACTGCAGACTTGACTTTTCAGGCTCAAATGATTCTCTCAGGTCAGCCTCTTGATTAGCTGAGATTACAGGTGTGTGTCACCATGGCCAGATAAATTTTTAATTTTTTGTAACAACAGGGTCTTGCTGTGTTGCCTACACTGGTCTCAAAATCCTGGGCTCAAGCCCTTCTCTTGCCTTAACCTCCCAAAGTACTGAGATTACAGGCATGAGCCATTGCACCAGGCTCAAATCTCAATTTTTATATATTTGTAACTAGAATAATATTCCTTGACTCAAAAGTTCTCAAAAGTTTAAATGAGATGTAAAATGTCTAGAAATTTAGAAGTCACTCAATTCCATGTTAATTTCTTTCCTTCCTCAACTAATTCTATTTCTAGAACCCCTTGCCATATTCTGTGACCAAGTAGAAGCACTGAGAAACCCGAAATAAGCTTTATCAAAGCATTCTAATATGCTTTAACATACATGTATAATTTGCAAAAATACCTAAGAGGATCTACAAGACAATTGGCCTGGTTTACTTCACCTGTGATAATTCTGGTTCTTTGGTGTATCACACTATTGGCCCAGATTCTGTACTAGAAATCAGAAAATTGAGTGAAAACATCTTGGTGCTAATCACTTTCTCACAATCCTAACCCAAAAGTCCTTACCTATCCATGCCTTTTCACGGCATGCCCATACTTTATTCAGCAAGTATGTTTGAAGCACCAAATATGTGCCAGGCACTATCTAGGTGCTAAGTATAGAGCAATGAGCAAAACAGATTAAAGAACTATGAGTAGGGACAGACCGACAACAAACTAAATAAGTATGGTCTGTTGGTGAGTGATAAACATGTTGAAGAAAAATCAGGTGGAAAGAGAGACAAGGAGAGTTGGGGCAAGGAGTTTGCAATTAAACGTGGTGGTCAGGAAAGTCGCATGAGAAGATGAACTGGTAATGACATAAAGGAGGTAGGGAATGAGCTGTGCAGAAATCTGGAAGAGCAGAGACCATGGAAAGTACATAGACCCTGAGCCAGAGAAGTGCCTGGCGTATTTATGGAATGGCGTGGCTGCAGCAGAGACAAACAAAGGAGAAAATAGCAGGATGTGAAATGAGGTAGGTAAGGGGGTGGGAAAGGGGCAGATTGTGTATGGCCATTATAAGGACTTTGTCTTTTACTCTAAGTGAAATGGAAGTCTTTGGTAGGTTTGAGAAGTGACATGATCTGACCAATGTTTTAAAAGAACTATTTCAGCTGCTGTGTTGTGAAATAGGCTGAAAAGCAGTGAGATCAGCAAGGAGATGGCTGCAGTAATCTGGTGAGACATGATGCAAATATTTGCTGATGGATGGGATGTGGCGTGTGAGAAACAGAAATCAAGAAAGACTCCAAGTTTTTTTTGGCATGAGGCAGTGAAAGGATGCCATTGCCCTTAACTTATGTGCAGAAGACTACAGGAAAAACAGGTTTGGGGGCAGATCAGCAGTTTGGTGTTCGATTTAGAAATTTGAGATGATTCTTAGACATTCAAAGAGAGATGTCAGGTAGGAAATTAGCTATCAAATGAGGACATAGGGGAGAAATCTGGGCTGCAGATATAAATGTGAGTGCTGTCAACCTATACATGGTACTGAGAGAAAGACAGATATATATGTGCATAGAGACAGGCAAGTGGGTAAGATGTGGTGGAGGGAGCTTGTGGAAGGTCTCTACTGAGTGCTTCAATGTTCCCAGGGGAATGAGAAGCCAGGTTATCCATAGGAAGTTTCTAATTAAGGGTCAGGAGGAATGGTACACGCCCAGCTGTAGAGTAAGAGTGATTTGCAATACTAGCTGCCAGACTCCTAGTCTTTATCTGGCTCAAGTTTCCCAGACTCTGGAAGTCTAGGGCCCATTCTGTCAGTGCCTCTCTTTGTTCTACTATCCCAGGTCTCAGTTTTTCTCACCTGTATCTTTGTGGTACGGTGACCATACAACGTGGCTCTTTCCTGAATAGGAACTTTAGAATCCTATTCTAAAGGATTCTATTCAAATCATTTGCTCCTCCAAATCATTTGGATCCACAGTGCCTGGAAAGAAGAAGAAGGAACCATCAAGCTGAACAGCTTCAAACCTCGCTCCATTTTTTTTTTTACATGAATCCTAGGGAAACAATTTTATTTGTGGTAAAAGATTTATATGTGCAGATGTCTGTAAGTGTTATTTATAATAAAACAAAAACAAAACATGGAAACACTCTAAACATCCCAAGAAGGGGAATGGTTAAATAAATTGTCATATACCTATGAGATAAAATATTATATAGGGATTAAAAGCAATGTTTACAATAATGCTTAATAACATGAGAAATGACTATAGTATAATGTTAGATAAAAATTAACAAAGAGATCAGCTGGATTGTGAGAGATTTGCTCACTCTAGAGAGATTCTTCATGCAATCAGTATGTCAACAGACACAGATGTTTCCCTTTCTTCATATGATAAAGATCAGGGATCCAAACTTGTTCAAAAAGTTGAAGAGGCACCATGTGTTCTCATTGGAATGGTGGGCTTTCTAGCAATTGTTGCATATGGATTATACAGATGGATGAGCACAGGAAATGCTAAAATGTCCCTTCCCCTGATTCACATGTGTGTGGCAGCCCAAGGCTTTGTTGTAGAAGCAATCACTGTTGGTATGGGCTGTTCTGTGTATTAAGAATTCTGGGCAAAGCCTAAGCCTTGGAAGAAATGTTGTCTTGGTCTTGTTGTAGGAACTTACTTTAGTTAGACATCTTATTATTGAGGTGACATGTTTATGTCAGAAATAAATTATTTGAATGGGTTCAGATGAGAACACAGTATTTTAAATATTGGCTTCCTTTCTTGCAGGCTTGATTTGTCTAGTGATGAAATTACTAGTGACTAGTTCACTAACTAGGTCATTCAGGGGAAGTCAAGTTAACAAAAAATAAACATGTCACCCAATTGCACTTGATGGTGTTAAAACTTTAAAACCATCTTCTTAGACTGTAAAGATGAAATTAGGGCCGGGTGTGGTGGCTCATTCCTGTAATCCCAGCACTTTGAGAGGCCAAGGTGGGTGGATCACTTGAGGCCAGGAGTTTGAGACCAGCCTGGCCAACATAGCAAAACCCTGTCTGTACTAAAAATACAAAAAAAAAAAAAAAAAAAAAAAAAAAAAAAAATAGGCAGTTATGGTGGCTCATGCCTGTAATTCCAGCTTCTTGGGTGAGTAAGGCATGAGAATCACTGGAACTTGGGAGGCAATGGTTGCAGTGAGCCAAGATCATGCTACTGCACTACAGCCTGGACAACAGAGTGAGACTGTATTAAAAAAGAAAAGAGAGAGAACGAGAGAGAGAGAAAGAAAGAAAGGAAAGAAGGAAGGAAGGAAGGAAGGATGGAAGGAAGAAAGAAAGAAAGAAAGAAAGAAAGAAAGAAAGGAGGGAGGGAGGGAGAGGAGAAGGGAAGGAGGGGAGGAGGGGAGGAGGGGGGAGGAGGGGGAAGGAGGAGGAAGGGGGGAGGGAGGGAGGAAGGATGGAAGAAGGAAGGAAAGGGAACAAACGGAGGAAAGAAGGAAAGAAAGAAGGGAGGGAGGGAGTAATAAGGGAGGGGGAAGGGGAAGGGAGGAAGGAAGAAAGGAAGCAAAGGGAAAGAGAGAAAGGAAAGAAATAAAGATAGGAAGGAGGGAGAAGGGAGGGGAAAGAAAGGAAGGAAGGAAGAAGAAAGAAAGAAGAAGGAAGGAAGGAAGGAAACATTAGTTATAAAGAAGATAGCCAGCTGATCCTGAAGTACACCCAGTTTGCTGTAGAATTTCACATACTTTGAATGTTATATAGGAATCCTATCTGCTCCAATTAATTTAACTTTTCTTCCATCTGTCTTGTGGACTGGCTGGGTCTTTTAGAACTCTTTCTAAAACGTGCATGGAACATATTAATAACTTATAATGCCTCCCACAACTTTCAAGTGTATATGTGTGTCTAAACCAAATTTAGCAAGCTTACAATAGAGCTGCATAGTAATAGTATTTATTTCAGAATCACAATAGCAAACATGAGGATAACTTAATTATGGACTCCAGTTTAGCTCTTTTATAATTGCAGAATTATATTTTAACTGCTGTTATAATAATTTTTAAATGTCATCTTAAAATAGAAATATGTATTTTAAGCATTCCTGCTAAGGTAAGTGAAGAACACTTTTTAAATTTTCTCCAGAAGAGTCATAAACATGAAACTAAACACATTACCTATAATGAAAGTGACTAATGAACAAGCTGGTTTGGCTAGCTACTATGCAGAAACTTTGATATACGACAGAATGCTTTATTTGTAATTTTTTTTTTTTTTTTTTTAGATAGAGTCTTGCTCTGTCACCCAGACTCTGGAGTGCAATGGCACAATCACAGCTCACTGAAGCTTTGATCTCCTAGACTCAAGCAATCCTCCCATGTCAGCCTGCTGAGTAGCTGGGACTACAGATATACACCACCACACCCAGCTAATTAGAACGCTTTATTGCAATTGTGAAATTCTCTTGTTTAACCTGAATTTATATTCTATAGTGATAACATAGTGTATGTATTGTTATTAAAGTGACTATGTAAAAAATTAATATAAAACTGTATATACACTATGTTTCCAATTTTATACTTTCATATTTGCAGAGAACACAGAATAAAAAGAAATATTCCTAATAATTACTTGTCAGTGGAGGACTTGGGTTTTTTCTACGTTATATATTTCTAGGTTTTCCAAATTTTCAGTCAGAAGCAGATATTTTTCTTATAATCGTATTTTTTTAATTGTGATGAAGAATTTTCAGCAAAAATTAAAAAAAGGAACTCAAGTTATCCCCAGTCCTCCTTGGGTCACTCTGTCCAGCTTCTAATTCCTCTGCTTATTTTAGTTGTAAGCTCTATGAGATCTCCCCAATATTTGATGCCTCATTCCTAAGACTAAGTGGTCAAATGTGAGTGATGGGGCAAAAGGCCTTAGGATGCTAAGTAAGAGCTGAGCAGGTGGTAAGCCTGTGACACTGGTGTGATGGATGTAGGAGTGGTCTCCTTGCAGCCCTGGAGCCCTTTATCAGACTGGGATTTCACCCATCTGAGCGGGCAACAAGTGCTGTTTTTTCCAAGATATCTAGAACTCATCAACTGTGCCTGGATTGTTTACTTACTTCACTCGTGGTCTTGAATTCTTTGTAGCAGAGTCATTTCCGATTTAAATCTCTCCAAACTTTCCCTGCTTTGGCCCAGGACTGAAAATTATCTGTTCTACAGTGCATAAAATACTCTTCACAAAGGTAAGCTGTTAGTTATGTGTTAGTCTGCTCTGGAAAACAGTCAAAATAGTTGAGACCTACAGTTAGTCCATGAGATCTGGAAGTGACCAAGTCATCACAGGTGGTGCACCTACCTAAATCGAATCCTTATGTATCATTTTCTGTGTTGGTAAGTAGATCCACGTTTTCCTTCGGGAGGCTCACTTTAATATCCTTCTGCTTCTTTAAGATTGGGAAACCACCCAGGCCTCCCAGGTCTTGGCAAGCAACACTCTGACTTCATGTTGTTACTCAGCATTTTGTTTCTTATTGAAATGCCTGGCTCTGCACAACCGGTTTGTAAAGTCTGAAGATCCCCTGGGCATGCCCAGAAACACTGCAGCCTCAGGAAGACGGAACTGAAAAGAACACACAGTGAGAACAGGAGAAGGGCTTTATAGCTCTGGTCAGCCTGACTCAAACCTGTATTAATAGCCCAGACTCTTGTTGCTGCACTCAGCCCTTCCTTTCTCTTCTGATCACAATCCTACGGACTCTTCTAGCAGCAACTCAAAAGCCACCTCACTCAGCCTAATGTAATCTATCTCTCCTCTGTGTTTCTTAGAATACTTTCATTTATTTTGTCTTACAAATTTTCTTTGTATCATACTTATTTATGTAAATACGTCTTCCTATGAGGTTATAAGTGTCCAGGATAATTTGTGATCCAGTTTAGCTTGCATCCTTCTCCTTGAGCCAATGCCTTGTACTTATTAAATAAAAATCCTTGAATTGTGTGGAATTGAATCCCAATCTAAGAAAATAATTTGCCTTAGAATAGATCTGAGAATGCTGAGTAACGCACAACTCCTGCCTTCATTGGGGGCACCTGAAACCTTTGGGGGACTGAAATTATTTCTGGATTTGTTGTAGTTTCAGTAAAGGCGAGATTTCCCAGGGTTGCTGTGGCCTACAGGAATATTGGCCTCCATTGGCCTTAGTATCTGGCTTTAAATGATAATGGAATCACACTAATTTTATTTTATTTTTTTAAATTTTATTTATTTATTTTTTGAGATGGAGTTTCACTCTTGTTACCCAGGCTGGAGTGCAATGGCACGATCCTGGCTCACTGCACCTCCGCCTCCTGGGTTCAAGCAATTCTCCTGCCTCAGCCTCCTGAGTAGCTGGGACTACAGGCACTCACCACCATGCCCAGCTAATTTTTGTATTTTTAGTAGAGACGGGGTTTCACCATGTTGACCAGGATGGTCTTGATCTCTTGACCTCGTGATCCACCTGCCTCGGCCTCCCAAAGTGCTGGGATTACAGGCTTGAGCCACCGCACCCAGCACTAATTTTAATGGTTTGTATAGTAACATCATAAAGATACTGAAAATACTAGCAGTATTAAAGAAGAAAAGCAAATTCATTTCTTTTTTGAAAGATACATCTCATTCATCAGGGATTAGTTAAACTTTTATTATACATAAGGGGAAATTTGAAATTTGATAAGTTAAAATGATAATTAGATCACACCTGTAATCCTAGTAGTATGAGAGGCCGAGGCGGGTGGATCACCTGAGGTTAGGAGTTCAAGGTCAGCCTGGCCAACATGGCGAAACCCTGTCTCTACTAAAAATACAAAAATTAGCCTGGTGTGGTGGTGTGTGCCTGTAATCCCAGCTACTTGACAGGCTGAGGCAGAAGAATCGCTTGAACCCAGAGGCAGAGGTTGCAGTAAGCCGGGATCGTGCCACTTCACTCCAGCCTGTGCAAAAGAGCAAAACTTTGTCTCAAAAAAAAAAAAAAATAATAATTAGATCCACATTTGTTATCATGGAAGAGTTTCAAAATGCTTTGTTGGGTGAAAAAAAAAAAAAAAAACCTTCTAAAGTAGTATGTTTATTGTGATTCTTTTTTTTAGTAAAAATAGATTTAAAAAGATAACTTCTATATAAAGTATATGTACACATGCCTGGAGAAAGCATTTGGAAAATTATACAGGCATTAATTTCTCCTACATAAAGTGAGTGAGAATTGGTCACATCAGAACGACAAAAAGCTGCTGCTTCCCCTGGTTGTAATGGACTGTACTGCAGGCGGACATGCACAGCGATAGTGATGGGGCGTCAGAGGGTGCTGAATGCGTGGAAGAAAGTGCAAGGAAGTTTGTGTTTCCTTGAGCAGGTTTTGATCTACCTTTTAAAAATTAAAGCTAGCAATAACCAAATACATTTGTAGTTACGAAAACAAATTTGGTGTTAAAATTACTATTTTTAAAATTCTGTCCTACCGTGAGTTTTAACATTTCTGTTCCCATTAAAACATTTAAAAAAAAATCTTAGTTTTCAATTTCAATTTGGCTTACTTTTAATAGAAAATATACTTGTAAAGGACAAAATCTAAAAGGCACATGCAAGTATT